ATTGCGAAATATGGTTCTGTTATTCATATTGAGTCTCGGTCAACTTGCTCTCGTTCTGCCTTATTTGTTCATTCTTGACCAATGCCACGAATTGAAAAACCGTACTAATTGCGGACTATTATATGAGCTTTTCTGATGTGTTTCGTTTATATTTTACAACTCACATGTTCATTGAAAGAGCATAATAGTGTGCACTTCACAGTGAATTTTACAGATGGTTTTCGCCTGAGTATCGTACGTGGTTTGGGTCAACAGTTCCAGGGGGTGTATTTTTCAAATCTCCTGAGGCATTTCATGAAAAATCCTATCAAGATCGAATGCAATTTTCTTCTAGGAAAACGCTATCAAATCAAAAGAATTTACCGAAAGTCCAGTCTATCTAGTGAATGAAAGAAATGGCCGAGAAGGAGTCCTTGATGAAGTTTTTTTGAAAACCTAGAAAACACATCTCCGCCCGAGTATCATTCAGTTTCACCCATTTGGATTGGATTTTCCATTTCTTTATGCACATCTGTAGCTGTTTTTTACCACGAATCAAATTGAAAGAGAGAAAACAAACCATATTATTCTTAAAGCAAAAGAATCACGAAGAAGGAAAAGATATTGTGCCATTGAGAAAGAGAAAAAATTCACAAGAAACGTTTAAGCATTCAAATTGAGTCATATCTTTAACATTCTGCTGAAATGATTAGAGGCAAACCACTGAAAAAATACCATCCAACAGATTCGAAAATTAGAAGTGAATGGCATCGAAAATGTGAAAATAGCCAAAAAGCATCACATTAAATGTGTCGCATCATCTGTCTAAAATATTAACATATATATAAAGAAATATACACTGCCAAGATACTTGGTAGTTGGCATTAGTGCTTGATGTATATAAACCACAATGAACGATCCCAATGATAGAACTTAAAACAATAAACAATGTACTAGACCATGTATTTCGATTCCCGTAAAATCAGCAGAAAAAAGCACATTTCACATAAAATAGAATGTTTGCCAATTAAATTTTCCGATGAAGAACAATGCGTAAATTGGTGTTTGGAATTTAAAAACAAAAGTTTACTATACATGATAAAAACAAAACGATTTAAAAGCTTGATGATACATCAAGCAAAATGTCATTTTCACTTTATCGCATTCATTCTATGACAATGTGCTTGAAAAGTTTCGTTCGGCTAACAGTAGAATTGAAAAAAAAAAAGTATGAAATATCTTATAGTCTTATTCGGAGTTTTTTTATACGTTTAAATCCAATGCTCATTGCTCACAATTTCAACCACTTTTACTTTGGACTTTTTTCCCTAATGCTTTGCACCACTCTGCCTGTCTGCCGCCCCATTCTGTTCGTATGAATCTCTTCGATGTGATGTTGTCTGAACTGTGTGTCATGTTGATATTTGGCAAATTATGCAGTTGGCGCTTGAAATCTTTGCCAGAAAATATTGCTAAAGCGAATTGAATTGTTGAAATGGAATGTTATGTGCACGAAAAAGCAACGAAAATTCAAACATTCATGCGAAACATTTCGTTTTGTATGCTTTACACTGGAAAAAAAGAACAAAGAAAAAAGATTTAAAGAAAAAGCATAAGGAAGGAAAAAAATTGCAAAAGAATATTCTTGGTTAAGCAAATGCTACTAACGTACCTTCAATCGTTCCATTGAAGAAGTGTGCACGAGTAGCGAGTACGCGCAATAAACAAGGCAGTTATAGAAACTGATTTTTTTTTATTATTTCACACTAGACGTGGATGCCGATGTTTTTTTTAGTTTTCGGCGATTCGGATTCACAGTGAACAAGCCGAAAGATCCGAAGCATCTAACGGAATACACATTAATAGCTTATGCATTTCATTTTTCTTCAAGGGGCTAACTTCAGAATTATTGGGAGAGACGCCAAAAGCACACTTTGAGCAAATTATTGGTTGAAGAATTATTATGTATTCAACACTGGAGTGAAAAAAAGGGCACTTCAATTTATATTTTGCTCACGAAATTGCCGGTTTTTTTGTAACCCCTTGTTTTTCTTCACAGCTTTTTCTTTCTATTTTCATCATTCTTCTCGTTGTGATTGACTTCTCTCAATCTCTGCTATTTTTCTTATATTGCAGCACAAAGGCTCTCTGTCCAACTCAGTTTTAGCTGTCACATCTTTTCACACAGTCGTCTATTTTTTTCTGTCGTCGTTGTCAACAGCTTGCCATTGACTTTACACATTCTTTTTTATCACCTCTGAAAATATATATTCTCCCTTTTTCCCTCCTCCATTTTGGCATCCATCAATAGTTTTTCGCGCAAGCAAACTTGTCCGATTTCTTTCTTGCTTTGACTTACAAATCCCTCCATCACCAACAACATTCTCTCGAATCTTTCGGTTTTTATGTTGTTTTTATCAACCGATGCTCACTTTTTCTCCGTTCCTGCTTTTGTGGGTTTTCAAACGTTGACAGAAAAAGAAAGCGGGTAATCTTTTGTTATTCCATATTTTGCATCAATTTTCAAACCAACACGATGTTGTGCATATTTATTTCAGGAAAAAAGACAAATCTAGCTCAATGCAAGTACTAAATGGTGCAATTGACAGTCGCGCATATAGATAAGACAAAATTCATTTTTCATAAAGATTTAAAAAGACATTTGGTACTTTCTCCAAATGATGCGCTAAATGGGATTTTGGTTATTTTTTTTTGTAGCCCAATAGACTGTTACGGTTTCTTTATTTATTCCGGGTGAAGATTTTAAAAATGTTTATAAAATCTCAAAAATAAACCAGGAAAAAAAATTGAAAATTATCATTTTTACAAGTGTATATTTATTTATATTTTATTTGTATATAAGTTTAATTTCTTTAGCTGTGGTAAGCAAACAGAAATTCAAATGCTAGGGGCTTAATTCAAAATTTTCAACAACTGAATTCTATAATAATATCCAAATTAACTGAATTTTTCAGCAAACGAATGAATTCCGGTGAATTCTACGGCGAGTTCATTTAAATATGTGAGATAGTGGTGAATAGTTTCTGTTGGCAATTACTGCCATATTTATATTTTGTGTAACAAAATTGCAAATGTTTTTTATATTTTTTTAATAAAAATTAATTTTATTTTCAATTTTGAGCGATTTTCTATCGAAAACAATCGGAAATATTGAAAAAATAATAAATTAAAAAATATTGCGGTTATCATAACCTCACTTTATTACTTTGACACATTTCATTCTATTCACACGAATTCACCGAACTCATCAATAACCACTCGATTCAAAAGTGTGAATTTACGTGAATTCCTGTGAATTTTTTTGCCGTATTAAGCCCCTAGTTCAAATGTTAGGAACGATTGGTTCGAAAAAAATGATTTTATGTTATATGCTCTTTAAAAGAACGCAAAATATTTCCGTGCGAATAAATGACAGTTTTTCTCATATTTAAATAATGTAAAAAAAGTCTTATAAGGAATGAGATGACGTAAGACCACAGGTGTTCATATGGGAAAAATGAATAGTCTGATGTACAGGTAGTCTGTTGAACAACATCCTTTTGATGGATTCGAAAATATATATATATACATATCGGAATGTTTGAATGGTTGAAATTACAGCATACGAGAAATATATTTATGAGAAAATTCATCGTCACTCGAGTAAATTGAAAACTGGCACGAAAGGCGATTGAAGGAAGCGAAAGAGAGAGCAGAGAAAGAGAATGAAAGTGAGCAGTAAATGAGCATCACTTACTCAAACATGCTCAGCTGATGTGAATGAGAAAAATGTGCATGGAGAGGGTGAGACTAACGGAAAACCAATATAAATATCAATTGTTATTATGATCCATCTAAATGAAATAAACTATGCAAAACGAAATACATAAAATCGCAAGCAATTTTAAATATATGCATTTTATAAAACCCTAAACCATTGTCTTTACAATTCACACATACACACACAGCAAGCACACTCTGCATATTCCATGACCAAAAATAGTGACGAATAAAATACGAAGTATTAAGAATGCGATATTCACATGTGAATTATAAACACATTTTTCCACATCACTTCAAACTAAACATTGTGATTACAGAAAAATGGCGACACAACGATGTTGTATTCAATTTATTACATTGTGAATTTATTGCCGTACAAATACAATAACATACATCGGTTAAAAAGTTCAGCAAAAAAAAACCATGAGAATGCAGTGTGTACATCGGTATTTTTGGACTGTCACCGCATGAAATTCTAGATATAATGATGTGGAAGTTAGAATCCATTATATTGAGCCGTTTTATCTCAATGAAATTTTGATAGGAGCACATTTTTATGAGTACTGATCATTTTATGTCACATTTGTATCCATAAAAATGTTGCAACGATTTCTGACGTATTTTAAACATTTCAATAAAAAAACGCATTTAAAATCAACATTTCAGCTGTGACCAAATAAAAATGAAAGAGATTATTTCATTATGAAATCTAATTTAAAGTAGATAGCTTAACAAACATATACACCATTACAAATATATACTACAGGTATAGATATTGCAGCTACGTTGAACAATGAGTCCGGTATATTCATAATTAATTCATCGCAGAGGAGAGAGCAAAACATCTCATTTCAACTATTATCTTCTGATGACGCATCAATTATACAGCACACGCAATTATTATTTTTTCCCTTGATGAACTATGCTAGATTATAATCATGTTCGGCTACAAATCTCCATCGTCTTAATTACTTGCACGTCTTGATAAGAACATTAAACATAATTAAATATCATTTTGCCGAGATTTATGTACATCAAAATGCATCATTTTCTTATGGAAAGTTTCCAATTACCATCAAAAGAGACCGAAAGAGATTTATAAATAAGAAATAACCACAAGCGAATGTATTTATCTTTGATAAAAATTTATGAATGATTTCGATGTTTTCATCATCGTTGCCAGAGTGAAGTACTCAAAATAATGCGATTTTTCCCCTTATTCTACCATACCATTTCAGGTGAGCTGGATAAGAGCGAGAGACCTTCATATCTTAACTGCAGGTACAGCCGTCTACACATCTGACCAACGATTTCAGGTACATAAAGCAAATGATTCACAAATCAGAAACGAATTTCGATTCGTTTTTATTACGAATCATCAAATTTCCATTAAGTAATATTTTGTGTATAAAAAATGTGGGGCTTTTGAAATGAATGCCAATTGATTATTGCTACAAACAATTCGATGACGTACACATGATTTTTTCCCGCAAATTTGTTGACGCAGAGAAAGCAGAAATTTTCTAAATTAAAAAAAAAATCTGAAATTGTTCGAACATGCAGTTGTTAATAACATAGTCAATTCAGACTTATAAAAAACATGTTGGAATTGATTTATTCTACGACTCTTAATGTTTAACAGTTATGTTTGTTGTTCATTTACAAGGGCTCGTGGCACAGTTTAATTGAATCTAAACATGAAATCGTTTGAATGAGAAATACCCAAGGGGGTGGACATGATTCAAATGATTCGTTGTAATTCATTTGTGATTTGAATGATTTGAATCTAATTGACAAGTGACTTTACAATACTAAAAAAAGCATAAAATTCTATATCAATATTTGTTTTTTTTTTTAAGCAAGCAAAAACCTTTTTTTAATTAAAAAAATCAAGTATATTTCGTTTATAGTTAAAACACATTTCGAAAATATTAAATCTCCTTGTATTTTTATTCTTTAACTTGATATTTTTTTTGATATAACATGCATGCAAACATCGATAGTCAACTTCACTGTAAAGCGTCACACGAACTGTCAAGCGTTGATTTGAAATGATTCGAAAAAATTCAAAATGATTTGAAATATTTATGATTTACTCGCAATAATTTAAAGAGATTTATTTTTTTCGTATAGATTTGTTCTTTTGGATTGCGTGTCTACCCCCTAGGAAATACCTAAATGGTTCCTCCAAACCATAATTCCATATATTCTTATTAATAAGTATAACAACCATTTCCATTCATCATTTTGTGGTCGATCTGTTTTCTTTTTTGTCATTGAGTGTGTCTATAGCAATAAATTGGCGACATAATTTGCTCGTTTTTATTTTGTCATCCATTTGATGTATTGTAATATCATTGTGTGATAAATAATGGAAAAAAGGGGATTGTTCTGAATTCTTTTTTTCAAATCCTTTTTTTTATGTTCTTTTTGTTCACACATTTTTCTTATTCTTTGCACATCGTGTCACACAGGTTCAACGACCACAAAACTCCACGTTATGGACGCTCCAAATAAAATATCCACAACTGCGAGACGCTGGTATCTACGAATGCCAAATTTCGGCCGAACCAAAAATGTCGTTACAATACACATTGAATGTTATAGGTAAGTGGTTTTTGGAATCTCCTTTTTATAAGCTATTGTACTGAACCAGCCATTGAATGTGATATCATATTCCCACGCACACATGGATTGTCTTTCGACCATTTAAGTGGATGTCTTTTATTTTATTAGGACGGACAGTTTGAGTGAATGATTTCACTGTAATGGAAGCGCAATATGTATATTTTGATCAGAGTTTCTCACCAGACAGTTTTATGTGAAAAAAATCGAAAAAAAAAAACATCTAAATACACTAATCTCGTATATTTACTGAAAATTTGTGAATTAGGGCAGATAGAAATTGCTTTAATAACTTACAAACGGTCATAGGACAAGTATAGTTGTCAGACATTGAATGGCGCTGTATCTATCCTATAAACATCGAACTAATGAAAATGTGTGGTAGTTCATGTCTTATTTAATATACAATAGTGGAAATTTATCCAATGCACAAACCATTTCTTCTAGTTCCTCACCATTTCTTCTAGTTCCTCTTACATTAGTGTAGGGGGATTCTTCTAAAGTTCAGAGAATGACGTTTGCATATAAATACATGTAAAAGACACTTTTAGGCTCGTGCTATGCAAACGGTGTTATGAAAATAAGAGAAAAAAAAAATAACTTTTTATGCATGATTTTACGCGCTACCATTTTATTTCGTCTTTTCGTCAAAAATAAAGTTTGAAGTAAGAAGCTGTCTTACAATAATGTTCTATGTGATATACGTGTCTTGTTTTTATTGTGATCACGTTAGAATCGACATAAATTTTAGGTAGATTGTGTATAAACCATCCGAAATGGGATGAAACAGTTTTTGAAAGGATTTATTCAGTTAAGTAGCTCCATATATTTCCACAAGGACGAGATTCACATAGATTCCTTAAAATAAAATAAAAATCGCAGTTCTTAACGAATCGAAAATCGATTCTGCGTAATAATTTCTTTTACCTTTGATGGATCCATATGAATAATTGATGAAATAAATCGAAACGTCCGAGGAACATGGAATTTGGTGTTGGTGACACACTCAAGAAGATCAAATATGCGATTTCACGTAATTTGATACTTTTTTTACATTTATTGAGTGTTGGAAAATTTATCTAGCGGTATTCCCTGCAATAAATCTTTAAAAAAAATATTGTTCAGGAATCACTGAAACACAAGTAAATATAAAAACGAAAAAACTGCCAGAACAAGAAAAAAGGTGTAGATTATAAAGTAAAAAAGCGACATATGGAATGGGATTTGTAAGTGCAAAATAACAATGTGATTCTGATTGACTTTTTTTTAATAAATTGGCCCAAAATCCCGAATACGCATTGAAAAAACGTACATGATAAATACTATCCTGAGCCTCACGTACAGTGCGTAAGATTTTGGCGTTTTTTTTTTCTGAATTCGAATGTTTTTGTTGGTATTGTGAAAAGTGTTGAATTGAAATCAGAATTAGCATTCACACCAAAAGCTTGAATAATATGACATTCTTGAGCAACCACCAACCTCCGGTTGTGTATACATATGAAAATGTAAAGAAAACATGTACGTGTGTAGACGAGAATAAAATTGGGAACAGCGCGGTTTGTAATGCGGTTTTGTCTATTCCCACTTCAATTCTCATCGACACGTATCATTTGAGCTTATTAGCAAGACGACATTTGAATGGCAAGGCTCTCAAATATTATCAATAAAATAACTATTACACAATAATGGTATCATATTGTTGTTTGATAAGAAAGAACATCAAATAAAAAAAATCATATCTGTGATTATCATATCATTTGGCGCCAATTCATTATCTGAAATCTATTGCTAATTCTGGAACACAATATCACGAATTAAACGAGAAACTAATTTGAAAATACTTTTATTTGAAATACGCTGTTTTATCACATACAATTTAAGTTGAAAAAAGTCATCATACACAACAAATATTTTTCAACACTGTCATTTTTCATATTTCACTTCATATCATTAATAAGTAATAAGAAAAGACAAGCGGTTGCGTGGGCCGGCCCTTTTTCGATCAAATTTATTAGATGAGATTATACATATTTCAGTTAGAATTGGTAGTTTATAACCTCTCGACGATGCTACATCAACTTATGTGATAAGTATAGTATGCAATGTACACCAACACGATTATCCATCTACAGTAAAACCTCAGCTAAAATTATCAATAGAATACACAAACTTTACCATATCTGTGAAATTGCATCACTATGAGTTAGTTAACTTTAATTTGAAGATGAACTGTCGCTCGAAACGATGGAGCTGCTTATAGAAGAGCGTTTTCTAAATGTATAGTTACAACCTGCACTTTGTAAAATTACCCTTCAATCCATTTATATTTATAAAAATGCATGAAACTTTTCATTTTTTGGTTAAAAAAAAAATGCATGAAAATGTATTTTCCACTGTCAACAAATCAGCATTTATTTCCTCAGTTCGAGAAAAATAGCCGTAATCTGGGTTTAGTGAAACTTTTTTTGGCTCAATTTAATTCCTCTATCAAATGGTTTTGCTGTACTTTGTATGTAAAATGTTTTCTTCACAAAATGCTGTCAACTTCATTAATGTAAATACGAATGATAGACAAGTATGCGTTTCTCATTCTCATACACAATGAGAATGTGGTTTTGAGCGAACGTGAGTTCAAGATTGTGCAATATGTACACTATGACACGAACGAATATCGAGAGAAAAAAAAATGCCATTTTTGAAAATTTGTTTAAACAAATAAACTACATGCAATACACCAAATAACTTGAATCGAATTCGTTCAAAATAACAAATTCGTGGATTATTCGGTTGTGAGTGTCGTGAAACATAATGCGAACCATGTATGTGACCATGTTTTTGATGGCATTCAATGTACGATGAACTATATTAAATTTTGGGAAGCATCGCATTCAAAACACATTCATCGGTTCAACATTAGGCCTATAACACGTATAAGTGTACCATCCACCCATATGTATCCACATTGAATTGGGTATCATTAGTTATTCTGACTATCACATTGCGAACACGTTCGGTGTTAGTTTTGGTTATTGATGCCATAATCCTGTTTTTCATCGTGAATATCATTGAAGTGATGCAATATCAAACATGTAATACGTATTCAAACAAGATACACAAAGAGAATAGAAACAAAAGAATGGCTACTAGTAATTTTGTGGCCACTTTAACATATACCAACTAATGCACAAGTGGTTACATGAGGCACGGTCATTAAACCGATAAAGAAAATCACAGGAGCTTTAGAAACTCAGTGAACGGACCCGACAGAAAGAGGAAGAGAGAGAAAATCCAATAAACTTTTAATGTCTTTACATATTGTCGAAAGTTTTGACCCATTTGAACCATCATTAAAATGGTTGATTGCAATGTAGACGATATTGGTTTTTCATTCAATATTATTACAGCACGAGCAAATCATCTTATGATTGGATTTTCATAATCACATATTGAGAAAGAATACGGGAACTGTGGGCTTATTTTGTTTGGTATTTTAAACAACGATGAAAGATTTGGAAAGAAAAAAAATCGCTGCCTAATAATACCTAATAACTACCTAATTTGTTGTTCAATTATATTGAATGATAATATTTTGTTTGTATCACACACAATTTTCGATGTTAACGATAAATGTTAATGTTTGTTGATTGGAGATGATATGGTAAAGGAGAGAGAGGGGGGGGAGGGGGTGGAGATAAGAAGTAGATGTGCGTTGTCGTATTTGAATTTATGATTTTGATACGATTGATAGCAGTAGCGTATGGTCAGAGTTGTTTTTGATTATAAATTGGTTATTATTATATAATCATAACGAATGTTACAATTAATACAAATTAGATTCGAAAACGGCAATTATAACCAATAAGTGGTAGCAAATCAATTATATATTCAAATTAGAGGTTTCAACGGAGTCTCGACCTGAATGCTTGATTGACAACCACTCGAGGCCGATGGTGAAGATCGGTGCTGATACTTCAGGTGTTCGGACTTTCTACCATTATCATTCGGTGTGTTACATCAAACCGTGTATTTTTATACAAATCACTTAGAAAATATTATGAAAAACAGAAAAAATAAAATAATTCTTTTTCTTATACTTCAAAATGTTCAATTTTTAGTGTTTTTGATTTGATAAAAGCTAGATTCATTTTTAATCCAAGTACAAAAAATCACGAAAATTAAACAAATCCTGAATTTCTCGATTTTTGTTTTTTCGGGTTTCAGGAAAATAGTTTTGGTTTCGGTCGGACTCGGATCGATTTTATTGTCCGCCTGAGACCCCTTGATTCAAACTCAACAACGAACTATTTAAATTACAATGTCATGCACCCTAATTTGGCGGAATAATTGTGGGTTTCATTACAAAATATGAAAATAAAATTACCATTTTCCTTGTATATAATAATTTTCAACCTATATAAATTGAAATGAAATTTGATAATCTGTTGTAAGTTCTAAGATAAGTCTACTTGAGTCAATATTATGTTTTATATGAAACAGATAAAACTACCCATATTAAATATGTTCGGCCCAAAAGTTCTAATTAAAGTTTCCATTTGAAGTGCGATACGTAACATTCGCATCGCGTGTCATATTCAAGGCGAAACAATTTTATTTGAATGTGATTTTGGTGACGGTCATTATGTGCAATTCAATCGCAGTAATGTTTGGAGAAATATCGTATTTATGGTAACCGATTGGCTCCATGGTATTCAAATATTCACATTGATTCAATTATAGCATCATGTGTTCCAGTTTTATTTTTGATTTCTTTTTTTTTCCATTCGAAAATTAGCCATAACGTTGATTTTGTCTATTTTCACAGAATTGGTTTAACTGCACTCGTGAAATGAGAAAAAAAGATATACGAAAATCCATCGCACAGTATATAGAAAAAAGAAAACATTCCAATTGCAAATTGTCTAATGTTTGTTTAATCCATATTCGACGTTGTACAGCGTTCAACAGTGCTTCAATATTCGATCATTGGTTGGAATTGAATACAGTCCAAATATCTGCATCCAACAAAAGGCTTATACTATACCTGATGTTGCTATTGTATTCCAATTAAAAGACGGATCGAAGGATTATTCACGGACGCGCAATGCTTCCCAAATTTGATTGCTCGATTTATACGTCGGATTCGTCTGGCTTTAGTATGTACACAATTGATTAAATTGATATCTAATTGAATGATTGAAAGAAATCAGAGGCAAAATCAAAACTAGGAAAATACATGGAAATTCCACCGTATACAGTCGACGTATATAATGGTACAATTCAATAATACATTGTTTCGCATATGTATGCATGGACTACACCGAAAAGAATCGGATATAGATTAAGTAAGGACTCCAACATGACCGAATAAAGAAATGTTATGCAAGAACAGCGAAAAAAACAACCGAATCAACGATAGACAATGACGTTGTGCGTACATTTTTTGTTCAACAAGATTTGTTTGGAGCATAGTACCGCGATTGTGCGTATGTGCTTTAGTTGACGTGTGTAGCATTAAATTAAAATTGATTAAGTTTTGGGTCGTATATTTGTTTCGTTTTTGCTTTAATTTTATTTAAGGCTCACCACTCTTCGCCAAAAAGGGTGCCTTTGTTTTTAAAATCATTGCTTTCGTTTCAAATAAAACTACCGGTGAGTTCACAGCATGAGTAAAAATAATAACAAATAAAATGGTTTCATTACATTGTTTTTGTAACATTCAATATAACACACACTACACACAAAATGTTTTTAAATAGCAACCAGGCATATGCAAACGATGAACATTCAGGTGAAGGAATCCAATCTCTTTTGATTTGGCAAAACGACAAATAAAAAATCTGGTGAAGTATGTATGCTGAATCACCAAAAAAATTCGAACGCGAAAAGTCTCTTTATAAATTCTTATAATTCTGTCTACGTACAAGCACTCTGATTTATTTGGTGCACGATCGAAATTTCCGTTTCTTTTCGAATCGTTTTGTATCTTTCACAGATTGGTTTATGGTTATCGTGAAAACCGATTTACAGGTCTTGTAATTACTTTTATCTGAATTGTTGAAAATTGACTTTGGTTTTTCGTTTTTTTTTTCTCTTGTTTTTATTCACATAAATCGTCATCATTCAATTGTGATAGTCATGTGTTTGCTTTACTAATGTAAACATTCACACAAAAAAGCCATGAATCAGAAATAGAAAAAGACGACGCGTACCAATGTTTCATAGTCGGAAGTTATGCAAATTCATTTGCTACCGACATCATCGATGCGATACGTTTATTTCTATAACGATAACAAGCGGACGTACGCCATATATTTCATTGAATTATTTTCATGTGATTCATCATTGTTTTTAATTTTTTTCTTCTCCAAAATGATATTCTCAATTGTGATTTATGCAACGAGGGGGCGATGTAACAGGTGAACGTAATAAAATAAAATTTATTGACACAGATTATTTATGAAGAAAAATTTACCTGAAAAAAAAAACAACAAATAAAGCGTTTTACCATTTACTTTCGTTTAGGCTTTACTATGTTTATAAGCTCGGCACTCTTTTTATCTGATTTATTAGGAAAATGCATGAGTTGTCACATTTTATCACGATATTCTAGTATATTAAGTATTTATTTTGATTGAATTTCTATTGAAAACAATTTTATTGGACGAATTATTTATCGATGTGTAAAAATAATAATATTACATTATTATCTTAACTTTTTCTTCAATGCAGCTTTTTCTTAGTAATAAAATGATTAAATGATTTTTTTTACAATGAAGTTTGCGAACCGACCAAAATTATTCAAAAGTCATTTTTGCAACAATTATTACTTAACCAAAATTTAACAATAAAGAAATTCAAGGAAAAAAACAAACAAATGTATTTCAGTAGACAGTGGCTAGATAGATATCTCAGATAAATTGGTATCCGCTATTTATTTGGTAAAGTTTAATTTTATAACATTTATCGATGAATAAAGAATGAATTTCGACCCAGAAATACCAAAAAAGGACTAAAACGATCATTGCGATTTGTACAGACAACTCTTTAGAGATTAAACACTTTGTTTCGCCCTCAATAAATATTTAAAAAATTAAATCTACCAAAGAGTCGCTATTTACAAATATTTCTATCTAGCCAGTTCCATTTTAGTGGCCCGACCAAAAATGTAGCAAAAGAGTCAATTGAATTTATTGTAGTATAGAGTGTACTTTTTTACTAATAAAACATCTATCATGGTCCAAAGTTAAGAACTTGAATATCCGATGAAGAAGACACAATACGAAAAGGTGAAAAACACCGAAAAAAGTGTTGATTTTTTTTCACCCCCTCATCCAGTTCACAGGTAATTGTACATATTGTGTGTGTTTATGGTACAATGTACATAACAGGTTCGGCAAACGAATGATTCGGGTGTGTTTTTTTTTGTGGAAATGTTTTTGAGTCATATAGAGAAAATAGACAAATACGTGGTAGAATGAAAATTGAATTGTGTGAAAATTTATAGGTAATGCTCTCACATACAGTGGTAAGAAAGATGCAACTCATCAGGTAGACGAAAAAACCCGTGTTCTCCTCGTTGTGCCTTTCAAATGGCACCATCACAATAGTCTGCACCTTTGCGTATTCAATGATGATACTGTTCACTTGTATTCAGACGTACAACTAATTTCGCACACATACACATATATAGCTACACTTTCATTCTTTATACATATACGCAAAGGTGCAGACTTCTGCGTCCGTGCCATTTCAAAGGCACATAGAGAAAACACGGGAGGTGGAGCATTTCATCTAATGAGTTTTCCAACTACATTTGTTGCTTACATACATTCAGCCGTTTGAGAACGATTTTCAATGTAATAATGAAAATCAAAGCCCTTCGGATCTTTTCGAATTTAGAAAATAGTTGTCACGCAAGAACTTGACGATGCCAAATGTGTGTGCTTTAAAAGTTCTGTCATGGTTCCGACTTTTGAGCTTTGTCGAAAATATTTCACTTTGAACAAGATTTTATGCAATAATATACCATTTTATTGAAAGTAACGAAATTGTTTTCATTTAAAAATTGTCATTTGTTTATATGTCTTTTTAATTATAGAATTCTGACCGAATTATAAAGTCGTACAAAACTGTACAAAAACCCTAGCAAAAAGGCGGTTTCATTGTTCACTCATGCAAATCATCGCTATTCACAAACCATTTTCGGAACGTTTCGTTTGCTCCTTTTCGTCCAACACACAAGTGGAACCAATTCGAGTTACCGCATGAGAAATGCTAAACCGGTTCACGTCACTGGTATAAAGTTAAAAATGTCATCCTTTAAGCAATATTTGAAAGCACAAATATTATTGATTTTTTACAAAGTTAGAACATAATTGAAAACTAAAGATTCTATCAACTAAATAGGAATCATGGAAAATTGATAAAGTTTTCACTTTTTGGTGAAATGTTTTCAAGTAACAAAAAGTACTTACGATTTGTCAAAAGCGTCCAATTGTGTATAAATACAAATGAATGACGACATTACATAGTTTCTAATTTTGGATCATCTCATATATTATAATTTAAAAAAAGTTATTTTATCAGATTAAGATTTCAATATCGTCTAATTGGTACGGAAATTAAAAAATACACGTAACATACACAATAAAAAAGAGAATCTAAAATGAAAAAATGAAAAAAAAAAAAAAATAATTGATTTTTCTTAAATGGGCAAAACCATAAAATGTTGAGTCTATTTTGATAGAATACTGTATTTCAATTTAAGTAATATGTTGCGTTCGACCGTCGGTCTTTTTTCTCTTGTCTGATCTCAAGAAACAACAAATTTAATGAGCACCTCAGAGCTACATAATACTTATACACAAACAAAAATAAATTATTATACAACTAAATTCACTAAACTAATTCGCAATGAAAGAATCGAGTTGTTGAATGCAATCGAATTGACAAACAGAGTGGAAATCTGGTGTTCCATTGCAATGAAATGGAAGATTAAAAAAATTAACGTCAAAAAGATTCGTTTTTCTTCTTTTTTTTTGAACAATCGACCGTAATGACTACATGCAACCGCATGCCTCAACTACCATGTTTGGCAGCATCTTTCGTGTGGCTGTTGAATTATTTTCCATATAAAGTAGTTCAAGTGATGAAAATTGTGTTGCCGTACAACATGGAACCAATTCAAAGCTATTTTCTTTATTGTGCGTTGACTGACTTCCCAACATTTGCTATATGGTGAAAAAATTGAAGGATATCCCAGATTCAAAGAGTGGTCGCCAGTTAAAAAAAAAACCGTAGCAGCAACAAAGATTGGAGAAAGGGAGAAAAAAAACAGAAAAACAAATAAATATAAGTCAATCAAAGAACAAAAAACCATTGTGGTTCGGTATATCTTAGTTCTGGCTTATCGATTTGTGAATGAATGTGCAAATGCGTATGCATGTGGTGAATTTATAACAAAGCTTATCTACAATGTTCATTAACAAAATACAAAATGAATTCTAAAACTAAAGAAAATAGCAAGAAATCACGAAAAATTGTGCGGAAGAAAGAGTGCATGAAGTGAGTGAGTGAAGTAATTAGAAAGTAGCGAAAGAAACTTACCCGAACAACTGTGTGGTAGATGCTTGTAGGGGATGAGATTGTGGCGCTTGTTGAGCATGAACCGCGGCAAAAGTACGCATCATAGCCGAGAGGATGAAGAATCCAGTCGTTCCAACCAATTTCGGCGAATGATATGTACAATTTATCACGGCAACATTGTGATACGCCGGGTGAACAATCAATGCTGCGTCGTTTTCGTTTTATTGTTTGGCTCGATGTTGTGTTTACAACGATAAATGGCCGGTAACCATAGTCGAGCGAAAATAGATCAACTGTTGGATGTTTTTCGCACGTATTACATGAAATGTCGATGACGTGAAAGAGATTCTTATATTTTATCCAATTACGTATGGACCATGTAAAATCAATTTTACCCCATCCTTCTATTGAATCAAACGACGACACCAACAATTGAATTGAAGCAACAACAACAGTGTTGATTGTCGAGGTAAACAGTGAAAGAGAAAATGAAAAAAAAGAAGCAAATTTCAAATTTATATGAATGATTGTAATTCAACAAAATAAACAAAAATATGAATATTGTGAGTTAAAATAGCAATCGACATTGTTACAACCGAATCGAATATGACATTTTCAATACACACAATGTATAGAAATCGGTGTATCTCGGTCTGATCCAATGTCATTGCCTTTTGGATATTGTATTCATTTAAAATGCATCACACGCATTCAACATAAATTCGATGAAAACATGAATAAAAAATTCGCACACATTCGCCAAACCATTCCGCCGTCCGCCGTTTATTTTCATAAACAAATTCTATAGAAAATTAAATTGGCCGATTGGCGATCTTACATCCATACGACTAACTTTTTCGATATTCTTTCGATAAATTTTCATTTGAAATTATGTTTTTTTCGCGATCGAACGTTCGTTTCCATCGAAAATTAAAGTTTTTCAAGAAGATGATTTTAAATGAACAAAACAATCAAAATTACTTTTGGGTTAAAAAAATATAAGGATCGAAATACCTTTAAAAACTAATTTAAGGTTTCCAAATTAAGAAATATAAGAAAAACGAAAAAGATCTCAATTTTGCTCAAGTTCAAAACAGAAAATGCATGCATGTGGTCTAATTTAATATAGAACTTTCTGTGACACTCACTATCCTCACAATAAAGCTATATCTTGCTGTGAACTACGTGAAATACTTATTTTGGGTGTCGTTCCGATGAAAGTGACACATTTTTCACAGAAGCATTAATTGAGGAGGTGGACCCTCTTCAGTGTTCTTCCCCTCCTCATTTCGCTCCTCAGGGAAACATTTGTCCCCAAATTGTGTTCAAACTAGGATACAATCGTTGTTTTTGTGTTGATTAGAATACTTTTACGCATCCCATGGTGTATAAGTAAAGTATTATTGAACTCACAAACAAATGAGAAAAAGCATAACGAGCACAACGATTTTGTGTGCACAAACAATTCATTTCGGCTGTTAATTTCACAGCAAATGCGTTGTCATTTATGTGCAGTTTTTCTGGCAGCCTCTTGGTAATTGTAATCACCAAAAATAAATACAAAATAATAATATATGTGTTGTTTGTGAGTGTTGTTTTCTGAATTCGTTGATTGTTATGCTTAGCAATGTGGTTTATTTGTCTCGCTTGTTTAAATGGTGCGACCTTTGCTGCAAGAGTATAAATTTAATGTAACTCTCGATGACACAATTTATCACTTTATGTCATTTATAGTGATATGAAATTAATGTTAAAATCCGTCAAGAACAATTTCAATATTTTATGCGATCGATTATTTATTTCGGACATTATTTGGTTGGTTAGTCAATTAAATCTCTCAATAAAATAACACACACACACACACACACACATAGATATATATAACGAATACATATATAATTAAACATACCTGAACTGTTTGCATAGTGAATGGCGAATGGTTTGTTGATTTTTTTAGAATCCCAACTTTCAATTTCGCTGACCAAAAATGATTGCGCTTCATTAGCAGCGTTTGGATCTGGTTGACGATAAACCCATAGTTCGGCTGCATCAACATCATTATAATCAATATCGGCTGGTATCTCAAATGTAAAGCACATGTATGAACCGAAATTTTCCACTTCTTTACATTTTTCATTATCTGCATGCATGCGAATCCATCGAATAGCGAACATGAACGGACAAAAAAGAATATATTTATTATTATTTTTTTAATCGGTATAATTTTTAAAATGACGTTGATAATAAATTGTATATCGAATACAATCGCCGGAAATGTTGTGATATGATGAATATACATTGATTTTGGTCGTCATTTATAATTGATAACAATTCATTGAATTTAAACATTTTCGAGGGTAATCAAACGAATTCATACAGAATTTGCACATTGTACACGCGTACCACACAACCACTTCAATCAGTGATTAATTAATCTATTATTATTATGGTTCGGTAGCAATAAACTACATCTTCAACAAGAAAAGATTATTATAATCAACTCAAATTTCCGTTAACTGTTTAAAATGTTGAACCTTCATCGATCATGTCATGCCAGTCGAGAACTATCATACGATTTAATGAATTTTTGCTGCCTCTGATAACAACACACCAATTGAAGAGCGCACAAATTGCACAACCGTATTTCCGTATATTTTTGTGTCTATATATTTTTTTAAAAACCCATACGACAAACACAAATCAATATCATTGTCGATCCCTCTGAGATGGAGCGTAAGAAAGAGACAAATGCAAAAAAATGAGTACGTGCCAATGATAATAAAACCACATTTAATTGTAGCTCCAATTGTGAGTAATTTTTGATGCGATTGAAGAAAGATGTAAAAAAGGCATGAATAAATAACATAAATGGAGATAGAACATGTATGAAGGAAAAATACAAACAGCAGATTCAACGTCCGATTTTTATATTGAGAAAGGTAAGGGTTTTTTTTTCTATATTTTTCTCGGACGTTCTTCTTTTCAAGATGTGTGCTCACTGCTGTTTTGTTGGGTTCAAAGTCTATGACAACAATGTCACTACATTTAGTCAGAGCCTTCGAATGTTTACGCTTCAAAAAAGCCGTTTTATTATTTGTTTACAGTGAAGTGGTTATTCATGCTCATTTTAATTCTTTCTTCTTTTAATGCAATCTTTTCATAAAATGAACTATATATATTATATATATATAGTTTTTATTGATTGAAAAAGTGCCTTAAATTCATGGCGAAAAAAATGAACAACTATTATTTTCTACGAACTGAATAAAGCATAGAAAATTAATATTTGTTATGCTCAATGCCCATTTCAGCTGATATCAGTGACCTAGTCTCCCGTCTATAATCAATACTTCAATAAATATTGATAAACGAAATCTATATGCTCAATACATTTACAACGTTTTCTGTCTTTTAATTTCAGCTCAAAGAGCATTCGAATTTGAATCAAATTATTGGATTTATTCAAGTAAAAAATATGTTTCGTTATCAGTTCAAGGTTTGCACATTTATTGTTCGTTGTCTACTAAACTATAACAATACTCTACTGTCTATACTGCGCTTCCAATGTGCACTGGTGTGGTTGGACTGCAGATTCTAAAAATATAACAATCAAATGATGAACGATAAGAGGCATGAGATTTTTATTTGGCTTTTGAATCAAATATTTTGGTGGACACAACAAAAAAAACTTGTGATTTGCACATCGTTTTGAGTGAGCGTGTGCATAATAGCACGCACGTACTCGCCCGTTTTACTGATATTGAACAACATGATTTTCTTGATAAAAATACGGCTTTCGAGTTTGTTTGTAAACAACTTCCTCAAACATTCATATTATTTTTACTGCATGAAAGATCATTCCACTGTGTTCTTTTTTTGTCACATTCAAAATAAAATGCTGAAATTATAGCAATTCATGAATATTCATATCGACCCAATAAAAAAATTACATATTAGCGATTGAGTTCTTTTCTTTCTCCATCTCTATCTCTGTCCCTTTCAGTGTAATTTTTTTTATAGTTCTTACGTCTTCATTGCATTTGTCCGTATGGCAATATATTCAAAATACTATACAAATGTCGCTCTTGGCATTTCTAAGTACATAAAATAATATCAATTTGATTGTTTCACGTCGCACAAGCATGATTCCCATCAACAATGTGTAAGCGTTATATGTTGGACTTTGTACTCAGGCAATCGACGGCAAAAAAAAATGTTAAAAATCCATATATTACAGATCGAAAACGAAGAATGAAAGAGACAACAGCTAAAACAAAAACAAATCACGACATACACAAAAACGACGTCTTATGAAATACGAAACGAGGCGCGCGCATACACATATACATAAAAAAAATATATAAAGATAGTGAGCTTCAATAAACGAGCATTTCAGAGACTCAGAGAGTCAGAACAAGAAAAAAAAAGAGTATTCCATATCGAGTAATTAGAGAGTAATTCCATATCGAGCCAAATTCAAGTTAGAAACTTCACTTCAATGTGCTGCTGCAATCATGAAACGCTATTTGCATTCAATGAAGATTTTGTCAATTGCATCGGTACCAATCGGCAAGAAGATACAAATTCTATATGAGAAATGCGTTTGACTCACTTTTGATATTACGTTACGATTTGATTGAAGAAGTAGCACATTTTTTTTTTGTTCCTTTATATTCTCTCCTTTTGGTCAATATTTCGAATTGAATTCAATCAACACATTGACAACTCATTAATTTAACATTACAATAAGTAATGAGATTGTTTATGCACAAAACCCGTACATTTCACGATCATGATGCGGTCACAGTTCGTACATCATTTTAGTTATAAGTGCAGCAGCCCCACAGATCTCTCTCTCTGTACGTATATATATAATGGTGTATATGTATTGTATACTATACACCAGTGTGGCGCACATTTGGAATTGCTTCACACTCTCATTAATAAATAGGATAAATTTATCGACATGCGTCTTTTTTTTCGTTTCGAGCACTCGGTCATAGCGTGATTGCATTCGTATTCGAATGACGTTCACTCTCTCAGGCGCCGATTAGTGTTTTTTTTTATATATGCCGGTTTATGACAGTGTGTTGGTGACGTTCAGAATGTCATTATTGGAAAAAGCCGCAGCTGTAGCCACACACTTGCTTGCTGCAATCACTCGAATCGCATTGCAATATTCTTTCTCTAACAATATAATCTACATTTGATATGACAATTTTTTCTTTTCTTTTTTTTTTGAACAAACAAATGTGCTCAGATTTTTCTTAAAACTTTTACTTCTTTCACTCTTCGCTATGCTATGCCAACATAAACATAATAAATTTGTTGTGATGATAAGAAATGTTGAGCAAACACAAAAATGTTATTGTAAAAATCAAATACTTTTACTTCATTTAATGTTGAATGTTAAATTATTCAACAAATTATAATTAATTATCCAGGACGAATGCAAATATTAAAAGCGAGATGATTTGAATACACCAATCAATCAATTTTCAATTCAAGTTATCCGCATTGTAATCATAGGCAATTGGTTTTATATCTATTGACCGTAAACATATTGATGCAGAAAGAAAAAAATATGTTGCACAAATATTGTAGTGTATTTTCCCATTTCACTCAGGTACTGCAATTAATTAATATTGCGTACACTCGCATATTATCCATAAATTGCTTTTATTGTTGCATTGTTGAGCTATTGCAACGACAACAGATTCAAACACCAACCAAACACTATTCAAAAGTGTATTAATGAAATGGTAAAAAAAACGTTATAAAACATAACAAGTCAACGAATATATCGCAAAACTCCCTAATGACCGCAATTTTCAAACTTTTTTCTTAAAAAAAAAAAATACTAATACCACATAAAAATATTTATGTAATTGCTGGAAATTGTTTTTGTTAGTTTTTTTGGCATTTCGGAATACATGAAATGTATTTCACATCATAGGAATTATATGCAATATGTTTAATATTTCAAAAAAAAAACTTACCCAACTCTAGGAAAATAATCTTTTGCGTTGTTTTTCCATAAAATTGTTCGAATGCATGATTCTGTTGTTCTTCTTCATCTTCTGGAAAAATCATCGAACCTTCGGCGATGGGTCGCGGTAAATTTGCAGCTGAAACATTTGGTCGTTCGGTCATTTGCAATTTTTTCAATATTTGATTTTTCACATATTCAATTCGCAGTTTGGTTAATTCTTCTTCAGTCATACGCAATTCGGGGCGATTTCGACACTTTGGACAATTCACTTTTTGATGATGCATTTTATCGAAAATTTGCTGCTCATCGAAATGCTTATCCGATTTTTCATCGATACTTTTAACGGTTTGGCCTAAAATATGCCACTAAAAAAGCAAAAACGAAAAAAACACATGCATTTTTAACGTCATTTTAATAACGGATCTAGGGGAAACATAATTTTCGTCTTTTTGCAAATATAGAGACAAAAAATATAGAGACAAAATTCGAACATAAACCATACGTTCTGGAAGGATGTTGGCTTGATGAGAATTCAACAATAAAAGTCTGAACAGTTAATGATGATGGTGTTGCAATGGAAATGATTAGATGTTTTTGACAAAATTTACCATATTTGGTTGCGTATGGCCGATTTCGACATCGTTGTGGTTGCCAGCATCCACATGATGATTCACATCGGCCTGATGATGATGTACGGTGTGGTGACGATGATAATTTTGTTGGTTGTGGCTATGTCTTAAATGATGATGATGCTGTTGTTGTTGAAGCAATTCTTGCTGCTGCTGCTGCTGATGGTTTGGATGATTTTCATTGTGATCAAACACTTTGGCCAAATAACTGCCACCACTTTCAATATCATTTACAACCATTGAATATACACAATTCTTAGGAACTTGGTAATGCACCAGGCATATTATATATAATGAAAATAGGAATCGATTCATATTTACTGTCGTTTGAATTAATGCTTAATGTCCAATTGAATTTGATGTATTTCTGTTAAATATTTGCTATTTTATTGTTAATGTCCTTATTGTCTATTCAAGACAATTCACTTTTGATCCTTTTTGGGTATGGTGACGCCTTTTTATTGTGTGAAATCATAAATTTTGTAAATCGCTTTTTAAAGTGTTTATGTTAAGTTTGCCCAAATTCAGATCGCAACTAATCGATTTTGTCGGAACCAAACGTTCACTTTTGTTCTTAAATACGATAACATTTTTTCATAGCAACAATATTTTTATTTTTTATTTTTAAATTTATAAATTCACCGAATTGTTATTCTATTCGCAGATATTCACCTGACCGAATAGTAAAATATCCATTGATCAAACACTCGACATAAATTCCATTCGAAAACGAATAGACAAATGTGCGCCACTTGTTTCATTCGAAAAATGTTGTACAATTTTTTAAATAGACCTTGCTTGATTACAAATCATTTGCACCATCTAACTCCAAAAAAATCAATGTTCCGTTTCTTTTTTAATATAAAAAATATCGAATTTTTTGTTTTTGTTCAATTCGCCGCATTTTTTTCTTCTCTGCTACAAATCTCAACTCTTTCAAAAGTGAAAATTTTTATTTATAGAAAATAACTGTTAGTTTTAAGCGTGATATGGTTTGAATGAGCGCATATTTTATTGATTATAACAAAAAATTTGTTCTGGACAGACAATTTTCAACACCAATGGAAAATGTGTTAGCTTTGAGTGATGAGAGCGCTTAAATTCGACAAACTGCACCAGACGACTTTAATAGATGACTAACTGATCGTTAGTTAATGAACTGCTTTAAATATTACATCGGAGCCGAACGAAAATATCGTAGAAAGGATGAGAGTTGAAAATGATCGACAGCGCGGAAAGTAAAGTATAAAAGAAGAAAAAAAAAGAACACAACAAAAGTAAAAACATACACACTGTATTTACACATTAAGAAAGAGATAGAGAACGACAATGAGTGAAAAGAGCTAAGCAAAAAAGAAAGAGAAAGAAAGAATTAAAAAAAAAATGTTGTTGCTGCCAACAAAATACATACAGTGTGTTTACACTCTAAGCATTGTGTCTCTGTGGTTGCCCATTCATACAACTGTGACCGTTGTGTGTAGACAAGAGCGCGCGCATATATTCTACGGTCCTCTATGCAAGGCAAATATATGTGCTCGCAATGTAGCCCAATGTTATTTTACGATTGTTTTGTTGTAATTGTGATCGCGTGCGCATATTGCCACTTTTTTTTGGTTCTCTTCGGTTTTTTTATTCTTCTTTTGATTGCATTTTCTTCCTCTGTGGTTGCGTCTCATAAATAAGCCGTTTATATCAGGGCACGCAGACATGGCAAACTTTGACACATCTTTACAAATTGGTAAATTTTAAGCGCAATCATGAACATGTGTGCACGTGTGTGTGTGTCGTATATGTGTGTGTATACATAAAAAAAAATTGTAAACATTGTGCGTTTGCACAAAAAATAGGTGAAAATACAAATGTTGATGACTTTTTTTTTTCAAATTCTCATTCAGGAGACAACCAATTCAAATGATATCAGGATCAAAATTGTTGATAAACAGTGAAATGACGGAAAACTAAGAAAAAACGTCGCATCTCATTTTTTTCCACTGTTTAACGGACCAATTCCGGTCCATAGTTTTCCGTTAAACACATTATCAGTGCATGCATTTTTAATTGCTCAATGGAATCCATTGCATGTTTGCTACTGTTGATACACACTTCCTCTTTCGAAAAAAAAAAAAAAATATGCCGTGTATGTGATTTTCTTGGGTGTATTTGTCTTTTTTTGGATACATTTCTTCTGTACAATTAACAGATTTCGTCTACATTCGTTTGTTGACCATTCACAACAATATGGTCAATGCATGTGACCGTCTTTGCCCATTGCAGTATATGTGTCGGTGTCTGTACTCATTCGCCACTTGTTAGACATACCAATAACAAAGTTAATACATATTTGCTGACGCAATATCTATCCAATGACTTATCATTCGTATTCATTGTGGTTCGCTTACTCTGGTTTGCTGTTGTTGTCACTGTTGTAGTGACCATTTGTCATTTGTTTTTGTAGTTTTACTATCGCTTGTATGTAATCTATATTTCTTGTGTGTTGAACTGGTTATTCGACTGTGTTGGAATGTATCGTTTAGCTGCTAACGCATTTTTCGAATACATTGGACTTTGAACGTTGTCGTTGACTGTGGGAATTTTTAGAGGGCGATTGTTAAATTTAGTTTAAACAGTGGCTCACTTGATATGATCATATATATGCTTTGGTACAAGAGCATATGCAAAACTATGGCATTGCATTCGTATTACATCGCATGAATTTCCGAGCGAATGTTTCGCTCAATTGGGCGTCATCTTCTCAATTATTTTTTTTTTTTCGTTTTTCATGAATATATTATTTTATTATAATAAATGTTGTATAAGGTAAATTTTCACTTTCATTTTCTGAAGACAAAATATTGCCTATGAAAGCATTTCAAAGTGCCAAAAAGAACGAGTTATTCTCTTCAATTTGTTTGTAATGATAGGTGATAAGAGCCTTGCCAAATGATTTTTGATTAGGTATCATTGGTTGAAAGCCAAAATTAGGGAAAAACACACACACATACAAAATTTATAGGAAAAATCGGAGTTCCGAAAATGATTCAATCTTGGTGTGCTTTTAAAAGGAAAAAAAATGTTTGATTTTATTATTTGTAATGTCATTCATTGATCACTTTCCGATCACACAACTGATCACGCTGTCCGATTGAAAACTATTAAAAAGGTCGTCAAAAACCGAATCAGCAACAACAATTCAACCGCATAAATATCAATGATCTCCGTCAATTGTATTACAATTCGGTTGAAGTTCTGATAGTAAGTAGCATGAATGAGTGCGTTTGACGCAAAACAATATGATGAAAATCCAATGTGAAACTTCTTATGAATGAACACATGGCACATATAATGGCAAACATGAACAAAAAAAAAGATATGTATGTAAGTCGTGCACGCTCGTTGCCGTTGGCGTTATCGACGTCTATTCTGCAACAATTAAAATAAGATATGTAAAACATTTTGTAAATAATGCGGCAATTTGCTTGACCGTTGCTTTGCTTTACATTATTGTCACCGTCATCCGTTGAGTGTGAAGAAATAATGTCCGACAACGTTTCTTATTTGAATAATTGGTTTCATTGAGTGTGTTTAGCGTGTGCGATGAAAATCCAATAATCTTCTGAATAAATTTTAATAGATATCGATACAAGTATCGACATTATCTATGTTGCAAAATCAATTAAATACACGAGCTCATCCCGAGCGTTAGTCAATGAATATCAAAAAATTGTAATTTACTCTAAATGCGTCAATGTATCAAAATCACATTCAATGCATAATAATTCGGCGAAACGATTGGATAAATCGATTTTCATGATGAATAAAAGAACATCCGTTCGTGTGGCAAATTTGTTCGAAACTCTCTCAATGAATGAACGCGAGCGCGTTTACGTTTTCAATTAAACATGAGCAAAGGTACGAAAAAAAGTGGCTGAGCTAATCTTTTATTAGCCATTCGTCATTTTGTATGAAGTAGCAAAATTTCACTGTTGCATATACATATTCGTTCGCCATATAACTCTCTCACATAACAAATTAGGTGAGCGCCTGCATGATTCGTCATACATGCATGCACATTGCACATACATGGTCGTCACGTCAGCGAAAACACCTAAGAATTTTTCGCATCGCATTTTTGTAGCTCGTTTGTCATGCGAATGGCTAAAAGAATTGAATGATGCAATATTATGATGAATTTTCATCGTGAACCGTCTTTGTTCGTTGTGCATTTGCAATTTCTCAATTTTTGGTACATTTATTTATGTACATTCGCGCATCAATTCTCTCTTCCAGACGATTTTTACATATGTCATCACATGATGTGTGCCAATTTCGATCGAACAGCGAGCTCAAAGTGCATATTGACGCTTGTAATCAGTTGAGAAAAAAAAAACCATTCAGAAGTCACTCAGAATTACTGAATCAAAAACAAGTGGAACCAGGTAAAATAGAACATTCAATCTAAACATAAAAGTAAATATAAAAAAAACGACCCATGACCGCTGACCGATAAATCAGGCACGTTTTACTTCAAGAAACACACTTGATCCACACACGAGATGTGTGACGAAAATGCTACATTTTATTGATTGGCACGTGACTTTCATGTGGCTAACAAGACGTCATTGTGTTCTCTCCCTTTTTGTCAAATAATGATTTTTTTCTGGAAACTGACCATTACTTTCTCTAGTTTCAACAACATGATAGATGATAATATTATATCATTTGACTAGTTGTTCATTGATAACATTGATAAACATAGATATACTTGAAAGTTTTTATGTCGATTGTATTTTTTTTCTTTGTTGTTTGCGTTGTTTTTTCTTAAGTGCTTGAGTACTTATCGTTCATTGAATGAACTGATCTCTTTGTTCATATCCGGATGTTTGTTGAGGTCAGAATTTTGGCAAAAATATAAACATGGCACATCACTTCATTTTACAGTTTTATAACGAATGAAAGGATAAATTTGCCGAATAACTCGATTATCGATTTCGTGCCATCGCGCATTCTCAATATTATCTTTTCATATTTGATCTACTAAAATTCGTCACAATATTAAAATAAAAAAAAACTCTCAATATTTATAAACCGATCAAAAAATAAACAATCGAAAAATAAAGATTAAAGGAGCGATTAGGAGAACAAACAAATAATCGTTAGTAAACACTTAAAAAAATACGCGAATTTTTTTTTTCAAACACTCTTTTTAGTGAATTTACTAGTTGAATTGTCGCTGAGTTGCAGAAGAAAAAATGTATTTTAATGAAAATGCTATTTTTTAGTAAATTTTTTTTCAATAATAATTAATATATAAAATAATTGTTACTTGTTTGTTTTTTTCAGTCAAATTAAAATATAAATAAAACATAATCAGTCGCAAAAATTTAAATAAATTACTTCTTTTGATCAGTAAACGGACATTCCGCTTGATTATGAATTAAACCTGCAAATAAAAAAATGAATTCAAACCTCAAAATTATAACATTCATTCTTTTTTATGTATCAAACGCGTGTGTCGGTTATCAACCATACAAAGTTATTTTGAGATTTCAAAATCTTTAAAAAATTGAAATGTTTGTTGATATTTTTTTTGCTCGCAAAAATATGTCACTTATAAACAGAGTGAGGCAACGCGTGCATCCTCGATGTTGATTTTATTTTTGCTCTCTCTCGATTAATTCAAATTATATTATTTCCAATTAAAATAAGCATGCTGGCTATTTTGGTTCACACTTTGGACTTTATACTCATAACATTGAATCATTCAATTCGAATTTGAATGAAACGAGAGAGAGAGAGAGAGAGAGAGAAAAACGATATATTACTTACACAGATCTAATTCATTGAGTTTACATTTAGTTAATATTTATAAAACAGACATCAAGACATTTGTCTTTCAATTATGCGACTAGATCAATAGCCTGGAGTACATTGTAACATTGGTCTGTACCAATTTATCTATGCATTTTTGGGTATCCTATGGAAGCTGACCGAAAATGTGAGATTAGCTGCAATCATCTGTCCTCATCAACTTGTCAAGAACAATTTTTATAATATTCGGAAAATTGTTGGCAATGAACGAAACGTAAAATTAGAGAGTAATCATATTTAGTATGTT